CTGACTGGATGATCTGGTTTATGTGGATCTATAAAGTGACATGATGTGAATTGGAGCTATAGAAATAAACTGAATAGAATTGATTTAAATCCTAACGTTGAATAAAGGCTTCATTCATCAGAGATCTGCTGCAATTATTTTAGGCAATTCATTAAATATGTTTACATCAGCCAACATGAGCAGGTTTATATTTTCAACATAGAATTGGACTCTTTGATAAATCAATTTAACTTAATTCAGCTCATTAAGATAGATTTAGATAAACCAGATTTAACCATGACAACCACTTCATTTTGTAGAATCACTGCATAGGAGTCTGATTTATAAAACTTTACACCTAGAATAGAAAGAACTAACGATGGTTGAGCTTTTCCTCCATTCTGGATTTAATCTCCTTTGGTAGAAAGAACATTTTTTATCACCTGTTGGCTAAATATCTATAGAGATAGCTCTGGATAAGCTGAGCTATCTCTAACTATAAGCTTTATCAAGTATGAAGTCAATTATGTTGTTATCAATGAAGGAAGGTAGAAAAGGAAGAAAGTAACGCTGCTTCACATCAACACATAATCACTGTTAAAAAACGTAAGATGAAATGATGGATGGAACGCAGCTAAAGCTAAAAAAGCTGCACAGTTCCAGATGAAACGGCTGTGAAAAGGAGTGGATCTCAGGAAGTGGAAACAGAATAACCTCTTTACAAAGTATCCAGCATTCAGAGACGATAAGCAAATCAGTGGAACAAACAGTCCAGCCCGCATATCAGGCCTTGAGGAAAGTACGTCCTCAGATAAAGTTCAAACCAAAGTTCATGGCAGGAAAAGAAACAGGCTGACGGTTCCAGCCGTTAAATCCCATCTGACCGGCAGAAGAAACGAAGAAACGGTCGTTTATCCAAGTTGAATGAAAGCATCTATGAGGCGCCGCCTGTAGAGTTAAGCAGTCACAAATTAAGAGCAATATTTATGGTTATTTAGCCTGTTTTAATGGACAAAATATTTTTTCACTATATTATTCATTAATTTATAAAAATCTGACTTTGTTAAATAAATATTTAGCTCCATTTTTATTTAATTATTTAGTTTGTTAAATATTTATTTAGCTAATATGCAAATTGACTTGCTGAAAAGCGGAAGTGAACTACAAAGTAAAAGCCTTCGATCCTCTGGTCTTTACATTCGATCCTCTGGTCTTTACATTCGATCCTCTAGTCTTTACATTCGATCCTCTGGTCTTTACATTCGATCCTCTGGTCTTTACATTCGATCCTCTGGTCTTTACATTCGATCCTCTAGTCTTTACATTCGATCCTCTAGTCTTTACATTCGATCCTCT